GCGTGCGTGCGTGCGTGCGTGCGTGCGTGCGTGCGTGCGTGCGTGCGTGCGTGCGTGAGTGTGTGCGTGTGTGTGCACCAAGTATGTGCTGCATCGGTGTGTAGCGATTCTTTGTTCTTGGACACATAATTATCTTTGAGTCTAATGGTAAACTTGTGCTAATTTATGAAAAGTTATCAATTAGGATTTTCATAAATCAGTGAATGGCTTCTCATAAATATCACATGCATCAACTGCACCTGCCTGTTAACAGCACTTCAACGAAGATTCCTCCGTTGCTATTACGATTGCTCTAAGCTTGTACGATACTACGTGCGTATGTGACAAGCAAACCGAAATAATTTAATCAAATGGGTGGGTGCAGATCTTTAATGGAATGCTGTTAAGGTGAAACATTCTTGCAGCAAAATTTTAAACATATACTTACCGTGGGCGTAATGCCATTTAAAATATTGCAAGGAAAATGTCGTTTATATTGTTCTCAATGAGTCAGGAACATGCAGCAAATTCTTACAATTAATTCTCAAATTTGTAATTTAGCTCTTTCGATATTCATTTGAAAATTTGCAAGGAATACATGTTGAGCGATATTGTAAATGTTTGTTTTATCTTGGGATTTTTAATCGCTTGTCTCAGCAAATTAACTTGAAGGTGAAACCATTCCACCGACAGAAACTCCGCAGCATAGCAGCTGTGTTGCAAACATTTAATGACAAGCATACTTTTATGAAGAAATGTTGAGAATGTAGAAATACTGAAAATAAAGAGATGAGTTTGATCGTATTTCTTTAGCATAGATGATTTACGACAGAGAAGATATCAACGGATTTCGACGACCTTAAGGCTATTTACCTTCCAGTAGTTTGGCAAGGGTTTCATACGCCCATGCACCTTCTCTGGTGAGTGTTGGTGTTGCTGTTTGCCAACCTCTGCTCTCCGTGCCTCTTTACTGATAGCGTCGCTGGCTAGCGGCGCTCTGTCTTCGATCTGAAGAATCAGCGTTCTGTCAGGTACAAGGACGCTGCTGCTCACACGCTCGTGCGGTTGTTGGCGATTCAGTGACGTTTGAAACCCATCGTTATTCGAGTCTCGGCCACCGCGTTTGCTCGCAAAGTTCCCAATCGTATCGTCCCATGTTGGCTGAGAATTATCATGCTTGTGGTGCGTAGGGGATAGCTGGGTCCTCTCAGTGCCTAAGACCCCAAGCCATTCCAGTGTAAGTAGATTCGTTGGTGTTTTATCATCTGCTATGACTCTTCTTCCCCCTTCATAGCTGGGTCTCAGCACGTTTGGCAGTACCATGTTGAAGGGCTGCTGCTGCTGCTGCTGCTGCTGCCGCCACCCACTATTCACCAAGCCTTGCGCCAGTTCGTCGTACAGAATAGCAGGTGCAGGTGACAGGCGCCGTTGTTGATGTGAAACAGTCTGGCAGAGGCATTCTGTTGCGCCTAGAAGGATCAGATAGGATAGAAGAACGGGTCCCATCCTGAAAACGAAATGAAGTAAAAAAAAAAGGTCATTCATTTCATTTCTCTGGCGAAAATTCTTTCTGTCGTCATATATGTATTTTTCTTAATAATAACGTGATGTCAGATATTGAATGAAAAGAATATTGCTCTGTTTTTAGCTCACCTTGACATCGTCAAGCTGAGCTATTGCCATGGGTTGTCGTCCGTCGTACGTCCGTTCATCCGTCCGTCCGTCCGTCAACATTTGGCTTCGGTCAACGATAACTCAGGAACCGTTTGACGCACATGTTTGAAAGTGGGTGTAGTTGTTACTGCTATGCTCCCATATTAAACGTCCTATTTTGGAGCACGCCAGTCGGCGTACTTTCGGGCCACGGCGATTTTTTGGAAAAAATGGGAATTGCCATAAGTCAGTTCAGGTTCAACGGATTTTGCTCATTTTTGGTATGTGAATGAATAAGGGCTAGGGGTTTTGATATTTAAAAAAAAAAAATGAAAATTAGGTAGGGTTTGGCAATTATATAGAATATTATATAGACACAAACAGTCTGTGGTGTCACACTCGTCTGGTTCGTTTTACAAGATTTCATTGACAATATCTTTAATGCAAAATTGGTATTTCCTCTCCACCCTGCCGATAAAACGTCTATATTAGACTAGAGTAAAGTTTTACAAAACATGTCGGAACGCAGCATAACCTTTTTATTTCAAACGCCATCGCTACAAAGCGGGTATAGCGCCATCTACGGTCACAAATTGTGATTCATTTTGGTTTATAAATTATTATTGCGATATACAGATGGCAATCGTTTCTATAATGTACGTCGATGGTTGCTCAATTAAAACTGACTTCTTCTTACTCACTCATTTGTGTCCTTTTTTGTGGTGAGCTACAGTGTCATTGACACTTTCATTTTTTGTTTTTCTTCTGGTTTGGGGGGGGGGTTAAACGAATTAATGAAACGTTTAGTAAACGAGTTCATGTTTAATTTGCTGCGAGAGAATCAGCAAGATAAAAGAAACTCAAGCTGTTGTTCTTGCGTGCTTAGTATGTGTGTTCTGTGCTGTTTGAAGTATTTGTGGTCAGAAACGTGTTATGTGCACGCTTCCCCTTGTCATGATATATATAATTATATACATATATATATTTATATACACACATTAGTAGAAGTAAAATCACACACGAACATGTAGATAAAAACAAAGTCAAATAATAGGTTTAGGGTGTTTAAAATTTAAAATTTAAAACATACACAGTTTTTTAAACACCCTAAACCTATTATTTGACTTACATTGTCTATTTATACATCATAGGCTAACATCCATACATTAGATAATGTTGCATGCAAAATTAAATAGAAGGCAGTGTGGCAATTATTGCCACGTGCTTCGCGATAAACGGATTAGCTTCTGAATGGCTATAGACTGTTTTCTGCTTTTAAGCCCGGTAAAGGTGAACGAGTTTTGAAATGGAGCGTGAACAGTACGATGATACACACATATACCCAGGGCCAAATCCTATTTGACACCCCCAGGTTTAAAAACCACTTTTAATTTTTAAAAGTACTGCTACATTTACAAAAGTAACAATATGGGGGTTTAAACGCTACTCTGAGCGACACGGCCGACGAATCTATGTGATCCCTCCTTATGAACCCCACTACTTGTGACTGAGCCTGGGGGCCAGTGTCAGAAACATCACAAAGTAAATAATGTTAATGTTAATTTTGTTTCTTTTATATATATATATATATATATATATATATATATACTAGCGGGATATCCGGCGTTGCCCGGGGAAATCAGTGGCGTTACTCAGTTGGTGACCGCTTGGTTGAAAGGAAAATACCCCCAAAAATCTAACTATCTATCTATCCATGCATCTATCCATGCATGCATCCATCCCATTCCATGCCATCCCATCCCATCCCATCGCATCCCATCCCATATTCCATGCCATCCCATCCCATCTCATCGCATCCTATGCCATCCCATGACATCCCATGCCATGCCATGCCATGCCATCCCATCCCATCCCACCGCATCCAATCCCATCCCATCCCATCCCATCCCATCCCATCCCATCCCATCTCATCCCATCCCATGCCGTTCCATCCCATCCCAAACAGTAAAAAATAATAAGAAATCAAAAGATAAAAGACATTAAAAATACAAAATACAAATTGAAAAGTAAAAAATTAAAAATAATACATACACTAAAGAGGTAGGTAAATGGAAAACTAAAAATATTTTCAGAATCAGCATGTCTAGGAGGTGGTTCGGGCTGAAACAAAAATTTAAAAAAGTAAAAAATTGATAAAAATTCTATTCATCAATAGATGCATGGCGGTGCGTACAGATTAACATCACGTACGTGTGAATTCATGGTGTATACCCTTAACGGCGCAGTGGCCTAATCGCTAGAACATCCGTCTCCTACACCAGGATTCGGGTTCGAGCCCCAGCTGGGGAACTTATTTTCCCCTTTTTTCCTTTTTTCTTTTTACCTACCTCTTTAGTATGTACTTCTGCAACTTCAAAATTAAAAAAAACTTTTTACTACATTCATTAAAAAAATAAGAAAAGTTAAAAATTGAAAACAAATTAATACTTTACTATTCGTCAATAGATGGCGGCAACGTGCGAGTGTCTTAAGATTATTGTTTGGTAGCAACAACTGAACTATTTGTGCTACAGGTGAACACAGTGAACATAGTGAACAGGTGAGAACTCAATCTATTCACCTACACAAGCGTACAGGCTGAAGTCTTGGCTAGGCTGAAGCTTATTAATGTTAGTACTGAAGCTGAAAGTACTGAAAGCTACTCACTGAACTCAGTACTGAATACTGAAGCTATAACTGTACTGAACTTACTAGGCTGAAGCTAATTCATTAACGCAAGCAACGCGGTGCCGCCAAAAACTCGCGTAGTGCGCAGCACAGAATCACAAGCAATACAGTGCATGCAGAACTGCATGTTTAACTGGTCAGGTACAAATTATATGATTTCAGCAGCATAAATATTATTACAGTAACATATTACAGCCTCATACATCCACACATGTACACATTTTTCTAGCAAACCCCTTTCACTTCTTTCTTAACAGTAAACAAATTAATGTTTAACCCTTCACTTGCGGGTCACTGCGCTTTGACCTAGCTGTCACCTCCCATTTCGCGCTGATGATGGATTCCCTCCCCATCACTCTATACATCGAATATCAACAACAATATATATATATATATATTGACGATCAACAAGGCCCAAGGACAGACATTCAAAGCGATTGGTCTCGACCTCTCTGTCCCGTGCTTCTCCCACGGCCAGCTGTATGTTGCTGCCTCTCGCACCGGCAGCGCACTGCATCTCAGCATCCTCGCACCAAACAGTCAGACGCGCAACGTCGTCTACCCTGAGGCTCTGCAGCACTGATACCAAACACCGGCATCAAATGTAAAATATATATGTAACCCTCTTTAATTCCTATTTTGCCCTGGGCAACGTCAAATTGCAGTGTCGTGTTTTAAAATGTTTTCGTACACCTCTTTTCCCATACTCATCACCTGTTTATGCCTTGCTTAGCACATACGATTAACTTTAAGTGAACAGTGGTTATAGTTTTCCATTGGTGGCTAAAAATAACGTTGGTGGCACAAGTCTTGTCTCAAACTAGAACATCCAGAGAGAGCCCTGCATATACAACATGTGAATAGAAGTATATAGTACATAATTAATAACTTATCCATTAACGAATTCTGGGGCGTTTAGCCCCATATCTGTTATAGTCATCTCATTGATATTCTTACATTATTTTGATCACCTCCCTAAGTATACCTACGATTTATCCTGCTGTTGATTAAAGGTTAGCTAAACTGAACAAACAACGCATATACATAAAACATTTCTAAATTTAGTTAGATGACATCAGAAGATAAATGAAGTGAGACATTGCCTCACTGCCCTTTGCAACCACGTGATCTCTAGTTTTGCAACACCTAAATGTACGACTCTCGTTCTGATATTTAGCCGTATCGTTACGTAGTACAGTTGTCAGGCAGCCAGTCCTTTAAGCACTATAGAAATCTGTAAGGGCTGCGGGGGGGATCGACTGCCGCCTCAATTGTCAACGCTCTAGCGTACGGTCTGTGCTATTTCCCACGGATCGCTTGCAAATTCCGTCGGCAGATTCAGGTTCGCGTGCATTTCGGCTATTTATGGATCGATTAAGTAGGGTTGAGTTATCTGATTGCCGACATTATAGAGGTATCACCTATTCTATCCGGAGTAAATAAAACTTCCATAGCGAATAAAAATGTATTTTTATTCACTACTGGTGCTATTTGTATAATTTTATATTACATGAATTTGCAATGTGTTGCTAGTAGCTTACCTTGTTGCTAACGTTTGCCTTCTGCTTGATAATTATGGGGTTTCCTCCGCCTTAAGAACAGTTCACTTACAGTTCAGTATACGGCTCACGTTACCCTGCTTGTTTTGACCGACACGCTAGGAATACCAATGCCTATACTGATCTCTTAACTCATCCGTATGGAAACACCGGCAGTCTTCACTGTTATCACAACTCTCACTCAGATAGTCTGTCGTGCGCTTCATTACCACGCGGCTATCGTTATGAGGTCCGGCGAACTCCTCCCGCGAGATTTTATGCAGTCGAATGATGAGCACGCGCGGGTGGAGTGCGTGAGTTGACTAAACACCGCATATCCAATCAGTGAGTTCTGCTTCGTTCGCAAGCAGGCTCCAAAAGGCAATCGCAGAGGTGAGCTGGAGGAACTCGATGTGTCCTGACATATAATACGGTAGTTTTAGCAGCGCAGAGCGTGAAGCTAGATTTGATTATTACTTACTTGTGGTATATATGCGTCGTGGTAGGGAATGCGGGAAGAGAACGCAGGGAATGGAAAGAGAAGGAAATTGTACATGAGAAAAATGCAAATTGGACTGGTACATGTATGTAAAAGACAGATGATGGAAAAGAGAAAGGTTGTAACAGACGGAAGACAAGAAATAAACAGTTGACAGGAAGAAGGCAAAAGTAGATGAACTTGTGAATGAGATATAGACAGGATGAAAAGAGTACGGCAGATGCCAAAGTGCCATCTTTCCTACTCCTCGGACTTCCATTTCCTCGTGGTCATTACGAAATTTTCACTTGCTCTGTTATACCCTTCCTCTCTCCCCATCCTTTCGTCTGGCTGTTGAGCTTAGCAGCTGCATGACTGAGCTTATTGTGTTAGACCAAAAGAATTAGAATTGCTTCAAATCAACTAATCATTCGGTTTCTGAAGTTATTCACGTTTTTCTTTTTCGCAATTGCAGTATACAGACATGCCAACCATTACGATTTGGGCGTAATTATTACGATTTTGGTGTATTAATTACGCCATTACGCCTAAGTCATCCATTATTACGACTTTTAGTAAATTTCAATAAATTTTAAAATTAAGCACAAGGACACTCAGCTGCTTGGTTACCCGTAAAGTGAGAATGAGAGCCATGGGTACCCCGTGCTACAAGGCTGTTCCTTCCAAGGATGTGTTGCGAAAGGCCAAGAGTGCCTGCTACAACAAACTGATGTAGACACTGACAGAGGTTTCTGTAGTGGTGTTT